GGGGGGAGGGGGGGAAGGAAAGACCTTGTGGAGACCGGGGGTTGCGGCTCTGTCTTCCTACCTCATAGCCGAAGGTCAAGGCCATAATGGTAATAAGGAATCCGAAAAAGGCCTCCAACTTCCGCAACCCTAGAGGAAATGCAAAGGGGCAAGACAAACAAGCCAACCAAAAAAGTCTGTAACTTAAACAATAATTTTTTTTTTTGAGTTGGAGTCTCACTCCATCGCCCAGACTGGAGTGCAGTGGCGCGTCCTGGCCACCGCAGCCTCAACCTGCTGGGCTCCGGCGATCCTTCCACCTCAGCCTTCCAAGTAGCCAGAATTACAGGCTGGGCTCCAGCAATCCTTCCACCTCAGCCTTCCAAGTAGCCAGAATTACAGGCGCGCGCTACCACGCCTGCTAGTTTTTGATTTATTGTAGAGATGAGGTCTCGCCAAATTCCCCGGGCGGGTCTCGAACCCTTGGGCTCAGGTAATCCACTCACCTTGGCCTCCCAAAGTGCTGGGATTACAGGCTGAGCCACCGAGCCTGGCCACTTAAACAATAATTAAAGACTAATATTCTGAGCACCGGCCAGGCGCTGTGGCTCAAGCTTGTAATCTCAGCACTTTGGGAGGCCGAGGTGAGAGGATTGCCTGAGACCACTGGTTTGAGACCAGCCCGGGTAACTTGGCGGGACCTCATCTCTACAATAATTCAAAAAAATTAGCCAGGCGTGGTAGCATGCCCCTGTAGTTCCAGCTACTTGGAAGGATCGCCTGAGCACAGTAGGTCAAGGCTGCGGTGGCATTGCGCTCTAGCCTGGGTGACGGAGTGAGACTCCAACTCAAAAAAACATATATTCTGAGCACCCCCAGGCAGTGTGCCAGGTGCTTACCATGTAGTACTTCACTGAACCTTCACAACAACCCTGTGATGTGCGTGCTGTGATGGTACAGATGAAGAAAGGGACGTCTAATTTGGAGGCCATCCAGCTAGAGTGGAGGAGTTCAGGAGTGCTCCCTGGCAGTCCCACACCAGAACCCTTCTCACTGTACAGCACCCTCACTGCCACCATTCCCCTATGAGGCCAGCGCAAACCTACCGTAGTTATCGAGGAAGAGGAAGAAAAAGGTGTCCACTATGGTGATGAGGACGCCACCCCAGAGTGGGATTCTGAAACCAGAGTGACCTGGGTCAGCCCAGCCTAGTCCAGGGGTTTCGAAATCCCACCTTCAGGGCAGGAACCTGGAATCTGACCTCCTGGTCACCGAAACCCAAGGGCCCCTACCCCCCTCCCCCTACAGCTAGGGCAAGGGGTGTGGGAGTGAGGTGGTGATGGAGAAACAGCATCGAGCCCTCGGGGAAGGGCAAAGCTAGGTGAGAGAGCAGGCATGGCAGGGAGCTAGGGGCTTCAATCTTGAAGTCCTGTGTGACTTAAGATACGTCACTTTACATTTCTGGGAAATAGAGCAACAGCTCTATATCCAAGGGGACAACAGGATAAAATGGACTCGGGATAAGGCAGCCACCATTCCCAGCCTTGGCCTGAAGAGCTGGGCACTTTGGGAAGTTACCGTCCGGCTGAAAGCAGATTGAAGGCAATAGCTGTGCCGATGACCTCCTGCATGTCCGAGCCAATGATGGCCAGCTCAATTGTCAGCCAGAGGAGAGTGCGGGGCACCTATGGAGAGGAGACGACCCTTCGTTAAGGATGGGCCAGTTATGTGCTGTCTCAGTCCTCCAAACGCCTTTCAGTACTCTGTGCTGTGCTGCTGGGCTGGAAACCTGCAGACTGTATTTGCAAGACAGCCTCACCAGCTGGCTTTCGGTTACGTTTTGTAGGGAATGCTTCTGGGAGATTGAGAGGCAGAGAGAAACCATTTTTCCCTCTGCTTCTGGTGGTGTTTCTGGCAGTGGCACCAGCAGGGACACCAGGCAACCTGGACTCCAGTGGCCCTACTGGCCATTTTGTCTGCACCAGCCATGCTTCTGGAAGTTCAGCAGCCAATGATGGCTCTTGGGCTTATGTCAGGGATATAGCAGCTTTCTGATCTTTGGGTAACACCCTCTTCTCTTATTCCTCCAGCCCTTTCAAATCTGTAAATCCCTGCATTCAATACCTTTGAAATATCTAGTAGTGTAATTTCTGTTTTCCTAATTGGACACTCACAAAAGTCAAGTCCCCAGGGTCTACCCCAGCCAGTGACCATTCCCAAACTGATGCCTCCCTGTGTTTTTTGCCTCAGGTAAGTCACTTTTCCAGAGTGTAATTTCCTCTTCTATAAAATGAATGACTCCGCAGGCACGGTGACTCACGCCTGTAATCCCAGCACTGTAGGAGGCTGACGTGAGAGGATTGCCTGAGCACAGGGGTTCCAGACCAGCCTGGGCAACGTGGCGAGACCTTGTCTCTACAATAAATTTTACAAATTGCCTGGCATGGTGGTGCACGCCTGTAGTTTCAGCCTCTTGGAAGACTGAGGCAGAAGGATTGCCTGAGCCCAGAAGTTCAAGGCTGCGTTGGCCATGATCGTGTGAGTGCACTCCAGCTTGGGTGACAGAGTGAGACTCCGACTAAAAAAAAATAATTGAGCGATGTGTCTCTGATGTCCTTCCCACGGGGTTGTGTGCTGTCAGTTTAAGCCTCAGTCTTTCTATCTATCAAGTGAATTTGGGATGCCTCAAGTGAGATCTTGTGTTTATTTGAACTCGAAAGCTGTCAATGACTGTTTGGGGTTTAGGACCAGTGGGTGCCTCCTGTCCGGGCCACCCCGCCAGCTCACCTTAGGGTAGTAGAGACAGCAGACCTCTCCCAGATCCTTGCCTGTTACCACACCCAGGCGCGCGGCCAGTCGCTGGCACAGCAAGCCCATCACTGTGGCCCAGAGCAGCACCCAGAGCAGCTGTGAGAGAGCAGGGAGAGGGCTTCAGCCAACCCCAGAAAGCTCCGGAGCTGGTGGCACCCTCTAACCAAGGACACTCCTTGCGGAGAGGGTGGGAGAGACGGAACAAGAAGATCAATTCCCCTCACCCCGCACATGCTCCACACTCTAGCAGGGCTGCCCTAGGGACCCTTTTCTGGCCCATTTGAATTTAACGCTGTCCCGGGGAACACCATTCATGCAGGCCACCTTGGGGAAACATGGCAAGCTAGTGCCTCCACTCAGCCCGGTCACCTCCCTCCTCACGCCCCCCCTTCCACCCCCCAGTTACTTTGAACTCAGCTGCAGCGCCAGCCTGAAGGTCTGACTCGATGTTTCCTGGGTCCAGGAAAGCGATGCTCATGAGAAAGCCAGGCCCGGTGAAGGCCCATAGTTTCCGCAGGCTGAACGTGCCCTGGGGGTGGGAGGGGGGAGGGGCGTCTGGGTATAGGGGTGGCAGCTGCTGGAGCCCCAACGGGCTACTCAGACCGGCCCTGCCCCCCATTTCCCACTGCTGGAACTTTCACCCGGTGGGGGGGCGGGTAGGGAAGGGCATGGGGTGGAGGAACCAGCAGGCTTTGCTGAGTCACAGAGGATCTGCTTTCTGGGTCTGTCACGTTCAGCAGCCCGCCGGCACCTGACCTGCCTGCCTGCCTCTTGCAGGCCCTGACTCAGCAGGTCCTCAGATCCCCAAGAGGGAGCACTCTGGGGGCCAAGCCTCCCTGGTCCAACTCCTTCCTCCCCAACCCCTTGTCAGGCCACAGAGCCTCTTCCCTGGGGTCCACTGAGGCTGGGGGTCCACACCCTATTCAAGGGTGTGGACTGTTAGTTTAGGAACCAGCTGAAGATTCCAGAAATGCAGGTGACAGCATTCTGGTTTCAGATGCCAGCCTGAAGCCTCCTCCACTTCTCTCTGTGCCCTTGAGTGGGTCCTTTCCGGCATGGTGGCTCACGCCTGTAATCCCAACACTTTGGAAAGCAGAGATGAGAGGATGGCTTGAGCCCAGGGGTTTGAGACCAGCCTGAGCAACTTGGCAGGACCTCATCTCTACAACAAATAAAAAAATTAGCTGGTCATGGTGGCACATGCCTGTGGTTCCAGTTACATGGAAGGTTGAGGTGGAAGGATCGCTTGAGCCCAGCAGGTCAAGGCTGCGGTGGCCATGATTGTGCCACTGCACTCCAGTCTGGGCAGCAGAGTGAGACTCTGACTCAAAAAAAAAAAAGCTAAAACACATCCTCAGAACTCCAATCCCAATTCATCCCAGGCCCCTTTTCCTTCCGAGGACAGCTGAGATTCATTCAGAAAGCCATTTGATCCTTTTTCGACAAAAACTGAGCACCCCAGCTAAGTGCTGGGGATGGAAGGAGGAAGATGCAGTTGCCACTCTCCATCGCTACTGTTCAGGGCTGGAAGGGACTTGTCATAGTCACAAGGAGGTCCCCTCACCCAGCCCATGGCATCCCAGAGGATCCTGTCAATCCTGGAAGCCCCCGGGAAGTTTCCAGCATTCCCACCGATTCCGTGTCCAGAATGGGGATCTTCTCACTCAAGTAGGTCTCTCTGGGAGGCGCTTGCTGTGGCCCTGGGCTGGACGGACTGGAGATGAGGCCATAGCCAGGCCTGCTCAGCCTCTGGGGATCCCTGCCACCTGTGAAGGGTCCATGAGGCCTGCTGAGAGTCCTGCCTCTTTCTGGTGGCCCAGGGCTAAAGCCACCTGCCTTCTCTCCCACCTCCTGGCAAAGTGAAGAAATTAAGGTCCCTGGCCCCCATCTTGGGTCCATCACCTCCACCCCTCGACTGGACATTCAAGAAGATGAGTGGGGAGCGGAGGCTGCAGAATCACTTTCCTCCCATGCGAGCACAGAGCTCCCCAAACCCAGACCTCCTGCCACAGAGAATACAAGAGAGACTCTGGGCTCTGTGAAGGGTGAGCTGAGGCCACATGTCTCCCCCTTGGCCTGACTCCCTGCCTCCTCCAGCAGCCAAGGAAGCTCCGGGGCCTCCAGTCCTCAGGGACCAGACAAGGGAAAAGGAAGACCTCAGGGGTGTGGAGGACCCAACTCCAGTGGCTCTGGTGTCCAGAACTGTGGTCTAGACGAGGACTCCCAAGGGGACCGGGGCTTCCCAGCCTGGTCCCCTCCTCTGCCACTGTTAGCCCGGGTAACACCATCTTAGTCACCCCCGCCACCTTGCTAGCTGACCCGGGATGGAAAATTATCAAATAGGCTAGGCTCCAAAGCATCCTAACACCTAGCCTAACCACAAGGCTTCCTCTCAACTTACTTAACCACAAGTCTTAGTTAGCCTCTAGCAGCACCAATCACAAAAATTTTCCTCCCAAGCCCCATAACTGCTCTAGCTTGTAAATGGTAGTGAGCTTCATTTTTCTGGAGCCCTGTCTGCAGGCTCTCCTCCTCGGAATAACCCTGTGTCTCCCGTCTCTTTTTTCTATCTGCTTGTTTTCTTGACCTAGTAGCCACCGCCCTCCATCAGGCTCTGTCCCTGGAGGCCACTACCTACCTGTCATGTGGACGCAGGCTTTGGGGAGTCTCTGCGTGTGAGCGAGATGCTGGCAGTTCCCTCAGGCTGCACTCCCTCTCTGGGTGCTGGTGCAAGTGTGTGAGCCCACACCCTCTTACCCAGCCTCCGCTGGGTTCCCGCCTCTTACATCACCATTCGCTTCATATTCATTTGCACATGCACACACAGACACACACACACAACATGGGGCGTTGTGAAACATTTTCCAAAGGCAGAAGTAGCCAGCTCTGGCGGAAGGGTCTGGTCACCCACAGAGTGGACCTCGGTTCCCCTCCCAGCCTGCCCTGTGTCCCACAAAGCATCTGTTCCCCTTCCAGGCATCACGTGTTCTGTGCCTCCCAAGTTGGCTGTGATTTCAGGCACTTCCTGCCCCTCACGCATTCGTATCCAGATCCCGTGACTGCACCACCCTCTGCCACACACACAAGCAGGCAGGTCCTTCTCCCCTCTTCCATCTGGAGCGCCGAGGCTCTAGTTGGCCTAACGAGAGGCAGAGAGTTTTCCAGGCTTCGAAAGTCTGTTTCCCTTTGAGGACCTCAGAGGAAAGACTTTCCAGGCGCTGCCGAAAGGACATGCATTGAAGACTCAGGCCAGGCCAGGGGCGGTGACCCATGCCTGTAATCCCAGCACTTTGCAAGACGGCGGCGAGAGGATTGCCTGAGCCGAGGGGTTTGAGACCAGCCTTGGTAACTTGGCAAGACTCTGTCTCTACAATAAATAAAAAAATTCACTGGATGTGGTATTGTGTGCCTGTGGTTCCAGCTACCTGGAAGACTGAGGCGGAAGAATCCTGAGCCCAGCAGGTTGAGACTGTGGTGGCTGTGAGCATGCCACTGCACTACAGCCTGGGCAACACAGTGAGACTCTGACTCAAAAAAAAAAGAAAAAAGATTCAGGCCAAGGATTTCCTCAGAAGATATAGGGGCACCTGGATCTGGTCCTGGTTCTGCCATGGATTCATTTGAGATTGTTACCAGGTCGTGGCCCTTCTCAAAGCCTGTTTCTCCTATTAAATGAAGGACTTAGATTAGCTAAGAGGTCAAAAATGTAGGTGTCCAAGAAGCCAAGCAGGAAAGACAAACTGTGAGAGAGGTTGAGAGTAAAGAAAATCAGTGCAGCTCAGTGCTGAATGACAAATGGTGGTGAGTCTCAGCAATGGGGGTAATAGGGAGTAGTGGAGACTGTAGCAAAGTGAAGGTCATATACTCTATCTGAAGAGAGCAGTGACTGTGATGTTCCAGCCATTTGTCACGTGTCTTCTGATTTGTCAAAGATGCTGTAAATTTTGAAATTTTATGCAACACGTGCTTTTTGACTATTAGGCCCCAAAACTTGAAAATACTGTATTATCCAAGCAAAACATATGTATGGCCTGCATTCCACTTGAAGGTTACAGACTGATAAATTTCAAAATTTCCAGCATGTTTGACAAATCAGAAGACACGTGACAAATGGCTGGGACGTCACAGTCATTGCTCTCTTCAGATACAGTATATGACCTTCACTTTGCTACAGTCTCCACTACTCCCTATTACCCCCATTGCTGAGACTCACCATCATTTGTCATTCAGCACTGAGCTGCACTGATTTTCTTTACTCTCAACCTTTCAGCTCCCAATTTCTTCTCCTTGCCAGCTCCTGAACCCACCCCTTTCTCTCATCGCTACTTGTGCTTTCTGCCCTGTAGCCTGCCTTTTCTGTTAAGAAGATTCAAAACCTGAATTGTCATGTGGTTTCTAACTCCAAAGTCTGAGACTATAGGAATCAGAGAAAATAAGGGGAGTGTGACATAATCAGAAATGTATATTTGGTCTCTGTGCCTGGCTACTGGCACGCAGCTCCTAAAATACTTATAATTTCCTAAGTAACTGGGGTCAGAGAAATCTTTTGTTATTCGTAATATTCCCCTTTCAACCCTACCTGAGTTTATGTTAATGAGGTGAATTTTGGTGGAAGGGAGGCCAGTTGCCAGAGGAACTATGTAATTAGACAGTTGAAACTTTTAGCTCCCACTCTCCACCTCTGGGGAAGGGAGATGGACTGGAGATTGCATCAAGCACCAATAGCCAATGATTTTTTAATATTATTTTATTTTCATTTTTTAGAGCCAGGGTCTCGCTATGTTGCCCAGGCTGGTCTCGAACTCCTGGCCTCTCATAATCCTCCGGCCTCAGTCTCCTGAGTTGTCAGATTACAGGCACAGTCCCCATGCCTGGTCAATGACCAATAGCCAGTGATTTCATCAATTATGCCTACATAATGGAACCTCCATGAAAATCTCTAATTGTGGGATTCCAGGAGCTTCCAGGTTGGTAAACACATTGAGATGCTGGGAAGGTGGCACATCTGGAGAGGGCATGGAGGTTCCAGCCCCTCCCCATCCATTCCTTGTCCCTTTGACTGTTCTTAGGTTGTATCCTTCATAACCAGAACTAGTAAAGAAGTTGTTTCCCTGAGTCCTGTGAGCCAAATTATCGACCCTGGAGCCTCTAATTTGTAGCCAAGTTGGACAGAAGTGTGAGTAACTTGGGAACCCACTACTTGCAATCGGCATCTGAAGTAAAGGTCAGTCTTATGGGACTGAGCCCTTAGCCAGAGGGACTTGTGCTAACTCCAGGTAGTTAGTTCCAGAGAGTGGGAGCTAAAAGTTCAACTGTCGGCCAGTCTCAGTGGCTCAGTCTGTAATCCCAGCTCTTTGGGAGGCCAAGGCTAGTGGATTGCCTGAGCCTGCAATTTCGAGATCAGCCCAGGCAACTTGGTGAGACCTCATCTCTACAACAAATCAAAAATTAGCCGGACGTGGTAGCGTGCGCCTGTAGTTCTGGCTACTTGGAAGGCTAAGGCAGAAGGATCACCGGAGACCAGCAGGTCGACGCTAGGTTGGCCCTGAATGTGCCACTGCACTCCAGCCTAGGTGACAGAATGAGACTCCAACTAAAAAAAAAAAAAAAAAAAGTTCAACTGTCTAATAACATAGTTCCTATTTAGTCAGAACTGAGTTAATGGTAGGACACCAGCTGGTGTCCACAGATAACTTAAAAATAACTTGATATGGAAAATCCACACATTTAGGATCAGAGTGTTGAGAGTAGAGAAAAAGAGTTTGTCCTTCTAGGGAGGTTCTTAGACCCAGATTTGATTTAGGGTATGTTTTATTCCCATGCTGAATCAAACTCTAGACGAACTTAGGAGTCTAGGGTCATGGATGTATCTGATTTCCTGGTTCCTCACTGGTGGCACAGACTGGAGGAACTAGAGAGATGGGGGTGTAGGAAGAGGAACGAATGACGTATCCAGAGAGAAGACAGCAGTGTGCAATCCTATTGCTTAAGGTATTGTCACCATTCCTGGCCTCTGAGGTTTGCACATGTTTCCCAATCACTACCTTGGGCTCATGTGGAGATGCCTGGGGCTGGGGCTGGGGCTGGGATGTCTTCTTTTTGGCATCTTTTGTGGAGTCTTTCCTACAGTTAGGAGGAACTCAGTAAGTGCAATTGATTAACCATTGATCAATATCCTGCTCAATCTCTAATTTACAGAAGAGATGGTATAATGTGATGGTTAAGAGCAGCGATGGGGCCAGGCGCAGTGGCTTACGCCTATAATCACCTCAGCACTTTGGGAGGTCGAAGTGAGAGGACTGCCTGAGCCCATGGACTTGAGACCCACCTGGACAACTTGGCGAGAACTCATCTCTACAATAAATCAAAAATTAGCTGGGCATGGTGGTGTATGCCTGTGGTTCCAGCTACTTGGAAGGTTGAGGCGGAAGGATCACCCGAGCACAGCAGGTTGAGGCTGTGGTGGCTGTGAGTTTGCTACTGCACTTCAGCCTGGGCAATGGAGTGAGACTCCAACTCAAAAAAAAAGAGTGAGAGAGAGAGAGAGAGAGAGGGAGAGAGAGAAGAGATCCTAGGCAGAGAATCAAAGCAAGAAGCTAGCCACATGAGAAGAGCTCTAGAGATCTGCATGAGTGTCCGTCCCTTCAATCTGGATCATTTGCCAAATATTAAACCCTTTGTAGGTGAGGTGAAACTTTATGATGACTAATCACTCAACATATATATATAATTTTTTTTTTGAGTTGGAGTCTCACTCTTTGTTGCCCAGGCTGGAGTGCTGCTGGGCTTAAGCGATCCTTCTGCCTCAACCTTCCAAGTAGCTGGAACTACAGATGCACGTCACCACGTCTGGCTAATTTTTTGTGATTTGTTGTAGAGATGAAGTCTCACCAAGTTGCCCAGGCTGGTCTTGAACCCCTGGGCTCAGGTAATCCTCTTGCCTTGGCCTCCCAAAGTACTGGGATTACAGGCTGAGCCACTGCGCCTGGCCTCACTCAACATATTAATAGATCACAGACCTGAATGTAAATATAGGCTGGGTGTGGTGGCTCATGCCTGTAATCCTGGAGTTTTGGGAAGCCAAGGAGGGAGGATTGCTGGAAGCAGGAGATTGAGACTAGTCTAGGCAATATAGTGAGATTCTGTCTTCACCAAAAAAAGTTAAAAATTATATGGGCATGGTGGTGTGCACCTGTGCAGTAGTCCCAGCTACTTGGGAAGTTGAGGCAGGACAACTGCTTGAGCCCAGGAGTTCAAGGCTGTAGTGAACTATGATTGTGCCACTGCACTCCACACTGGATGACAGGGTGAGACTTTATCAAAATAAATACAAAACGATAAAACTTTTAGGAAAAAAATAGGAGAAAATCTTTAGGATCTAGAGCTAGGCAAAGACTTCTTAGACTTGATATGAAACCCATGACCTATAAAGGGAAAGATTGATCAATTGGACCTCATCAAAAAAAACTCAAAAAACAACTTTTGCTCCGTAAAAGATCCTGCAAAGAAGATGAAAAGGCAAGATATAGACTTGGAAAAAACATTTGCAAATCATATATCTCGCAAAGGGCTAATATCTAGAAATATTAAAATCTCCTAAAATTCAACAGTACAAAAAAAATCCAACTAGAAATGGGCAAAATCATGGACAGGCATTTCACCAAAGGGGATGTACAAATAGCAAATAAGCACATGAAAAGATCTTCCATATAACTAGCCATTAGAAAAAATTCAAATGAAAATCATAATGAGATTTTGCTACACAGTTATCAGAACTGCTGAAATAAAAAATAGTGAACCACCAAATGTTGGCAAGGGTGTGGAGAAACTATATCATTCATATGTTACTGTAAAGTGATACAGCCAGTCTGGATAACAGTTTGCAACTCTCTTTTTTTTTTGAGTTGGAGTCTCACTGTTGCCCAGACTAGAGTGCAGTGGCCGCTCCTGGCCACCACAGCCTCGACCTGCTGGGCTCCGCCTCAGCTTTCT